ATCCATCCATCCATCCATCCATCCATCCATCCATCCATCCATCCATCTAATTTTGTAACAGTACGTCATAGCACAGTCACGGCATCTAGCTGTTCAAACAGCCAGCGGCCTCTCTAACATGCTCCGTCTCGGGCGCGTCAGTACACCGTGTGGGACTACATCTCGAAGAAAGACTTGCCCGAAGGAGCGGTGGTGAGGGGGAGAGGGTTCACTCGTTTCCCGGCTGGTGGAAGGTGAGGGTGGTTTCTGATGGCCTTTGGGTGCCGCTTGGGCCGGTGGAAGGGGAGACGAAGGCCGTCACCGACACATGTGGCAGGAATCTTTCATGTGAAGAACAGCAGGTCGTGTTACGGCTCAACCACCGATCAGAGCTAGGCTAGCTAGACCTCGTAGACTTACTGTATTTGATCTTCTCTTAGCGTGGATTCTCAGAACTGCTTTGAGTTATGGAGATCAAAGCTCTTTCAGGTGCTAGCTAACATCAGACATCGCCTATTTGAATGATGGCAAAAAGATTAGGGACCTGAAGGTTCCAGCAAAGACTCTACACTGAAGACAATGGCAAGCTGCAAGATGATGTGCCTGTAAGACAAGTATCAAGTGTGCAGTTGGCAATCCTTGACTTCTGTCCTTTTGATGATGCTATTTGGGAGTCGTTGGTTGTTGCATGTCAGCAGCATAGGCTTGAACGTTTGCTTCAAATGCCTCAGAACCTCAACGGGATTTGTTTCCACAACAACCCTTCACCAATTCATGTGGAAGCTTTGTCGTGGCTACCTGGAAGTTGTGCAATTGTTACTCGAGGCCCGAGCACCCAAGAATACGCAACTTTCTGTTGGCGCAACGGCCATCCTGATTGCAGCCGAGAGAGGCCACTGCAAGGTTGTGCGTGGACTGAGGCTGGAGCTGACAGGAACAAGGCAACGAGAAGTGGGGCAACATCTTTGCATGTTGCACCTCATAATGGCCAATTGGCAGTTGTGCGGTTGTTGTTAGATTAGAGGCAAGGGCTGACAAGAATGCAGCACAGTCATGTTTTGAGAGGCGTGTAGGGGCAACAGCTTTGCACCCCGCAGCTGAGAATGGCCATTTGCAAGTGTTGCATTTGTTGCTCAAGGCTGGAGCTGACAAAGATGCTGAAAAGCCGATGGGGCAACAGTAACAGCCTTACACAGGCAGCTATGCATAACAACCTGGAAGTTGAGCGGTTGCTGCTGAAGGCTGGAGCTCAAATGAACTTCTTACAGCATTGCACATTGGAGCTGGAGAAGGTCACTTGGAAGTAGTGAGATTGCTGCTGGAGGCTGGAGCTGACGAGCGGCAAGACCAGATGGAAGCACAGCTTTGATAATTGCAGCTCTCAAGGGCCACTTGGAAGTTTTTGGAAACAACACCAGATGGGTTTGCGGCATTGCATTGCAGCAAGGGCACTTGGACGTTGTGCAATTGTTGCTTGAGGCTAGAGCTGACATGAGTACAGCAGCAGCAAGTGGCACAGGTGAGTTGTTTGTTGCAGCTGACCGTGGCCGGCTGGCGGTTATGCATTGCTGACAAGAACGCGGCATTTTCAAGCGGGGGCACGTCTCTTTTTAAAGGAGCTTTGCATGGCAACCCTTGTGTTACATGTGTTGTGCCGTTTTTGCTCGAGGCCGGAGCTGACAAGAATCTGGCCAGAGTGCTTTGTCCATTGCGTCCAAGAAAGGCCACCAAAGAGTGGTGTAATTGTTGAGTCCTCGGTGGCAAGGCCGCTTGTGGCCCTGCAAGGCCGCATTGACAGGCTGAACAGATCGAGAAAAGACTAGTAGGGGTGTGCTGATCACCCTCTATGTTGAAGCCAGCGGCTTCCACCCAGGGACCGAGGACAGCCCCAGGCCCTCCCCGGACCGGTCCCACCCAAGACAGGATGGAATACCGACACGTGACAAATCCAAAACAGTGAGCTTGCTTGTCCCTTTTTTCTCTATCAACCTGGCTCCACTTTAGAGCGTCTGCAGGTGCGGTCGGTGAAGCCACAAGAAACCCATGAACAGCAATGCAGCAGAACAACATGCTAAGCACACCACACACAGCACATTATTGTCACATTATCTTTAAGACTACGGAGCGGAACACGGAATCATCCCATGCACGACCCTCGGTCTCTCCAGACGAAGATGCCTCCGACATGTTGATCATGTTCGTCTACAGGGTCACTTTCCCCCATTTCGCATGCTTCAAACCCTTGGTGGCTGCGGCCTGCACTCGGGTCCGCCCTCTGTGTTTCAGCGCTCCAAACCAGGACCAACGACTTGTGGAGCCTCCGAGCCTCCGAGACCCCTTTTCGCTGGAACTAGAGTAGCAAGCGATCGTGCTCTGAGACCCAAAAGTTTAAACCGTGGGCAACGAAGGCCAGCCATGAGACTCTGCTATTTGCCGACAAGAAACAGCTTGGGTTTCCGTATGAGACCCTGAACCCCAGGACAGGTTGGGTGAGGAAAGGCTATTTGCTTTCTCCATCCGGGCTTGTATCAATGGACCCGACGAAAACCACTCGAAAAGGGGCCGACCAGCCGACCTAAAACTTGCTGCGTTCTGAAACTTTCGATCAGGGACGGTGCGATCCGCGCGTCTGATCACAGCGATTGGAGGATTTGACAACCTCATGATTCAGCACCGATCGGATGCCATCCGCTTAGCACTGATTGCGGCCTGGCTAAAAACGACGGCAGGGGTCCTTTAATAGCTTTTTTCAAACCGAAGAAATACCACGGGGTTCGGAGCAGTCAACGGGTGTTTCACACTGTTGAAAACAAGATGTAGCACCACATTGCGAGGATTTGGACCGCTTATAAGATTGGCTTCCTTTGTAATTATCTTGCGACCAAGATTTGTTTTCTCTCGAGTACGTCCCCGGCGTCCCAATCGGCCTTGTGACCGGGATTTGGCAAAGCACCGAGCGATGGCAAAAGGAGGCCGACCAGCGAATGTGATCCCACATGCTGTTCGATGTCGGCTTCATGCCAAAGGTGATTGCGACCGACTCGTAGAATCATTTTTTGGTGGGGACGTGACTCTCACCACGGCTTTTCACCCAACCACCAGTCAGAGCTGAACCTGGTGCCGACTTTGCCGCACCGGCCCTGACTCGCCGAGGTGAAGTATGGGGGCGTCTGGATCGATGCGACGATTTTGCTTCTCAAACCGCTGGATTCCGTGATCAAGGTCCTGGCGGGTGTCAGAAAACAGGTTTTGGTGGGTGACTGGTGATGGCTAGTGACAGCACAGAGCTGTTGGTGACTCTTTGGAGAATTGCGGATGCAGAAAGTGGGTGACCGACTACAAAGTTAGGACCCTTGCATCCGGTATTTCTCAATCAACTACCTACACTACAATACAGTTACATATATATTGTTATATGATGATATTTGGGGACACCCCCTTTTTGCTCGCCATCAAAAATGCTAATGCTCAGTAGTAGACTCTGGATTACGAAAGCATGAATGTGTCGGCAGCTCATCGAAATAGAAGGACTGGGACTGTTCGGCACACATATTTGTGCCTCAAAACCTCCTGTTTTGTGGAGAGAGAGGGCAGGCTTTTCCAGATCCCATTGACCCGAGACTTTCAGAAGCCCCACCTGAAGAGTGTCCGGCAACATTCGTGAAGAGTGTCCTCGGTTGCGACCCATTCACGAAGCGCAGGAAGACCAGCCATCCCTGAGACACTTCTATGTCAATGGTGGCACCCCGAACATGCCCACCATCAAGACCAGGCGCGAGACACCGCGCAGAGAAGCGGCGCAGGCGAAACGCGACACGCGACGGCCAAGGGGCGACGTCAAGCGGCGCAAGGGTCCGGTGGAGTGCTGACTCGACCAGAACACGGAGCAGCAGACCGACTCTTTTGAATCTGCGCATCAGAGGCAACTCATGGACTTTCTCCTGCCACGAACCATTTGCAAACTGAATTCCCTTATTTCAAGAGCAGGACTCTCATCTTGGATAGCTCACCGTGTGCCCCAAAGGATAGAAAGTGGCCAAGCCCGCAGCAAGCCTGTCCAACTTCTCAACATTCTGGAAACATATATCATATCATATATACATATTTGAATACGGATGCATGGGTATGTGTTACCCGTTTGCATACAGAAAGGCCCATACAATAAGGAGAGGAAGTCGGTCGCTGATCCTGTTGGAGCCACAGAACGATGGTTGGTGAAGCTGTGAAGAAAAGGGGAACAAAAAACGGTCTAAGAAAAGACAACGTAAAACAAGGCATTTCTTTCATAAGCTGAGGCATGGGAAGTTTCAAGCCGAGGCATGGGTGGAACCCCGTTCACTGTAGGATTTTTGTGGTGTTGGTTCTACCTTTGGACAAGGCAATCTGACAAAATGCCTAACCAACTAGTCGGTTACAGGTCTTTGCACTTCTTCTAACATGTACAGATGCCAGTTCGAAAGTCAGTGGCTTCGAAACGAGCTCAGTTCCCTGACTGTGTGTCTTGTTGGCTCAGTATTTTTGACCCTAAAAGGTTATGATGCAGAGTCACTGGTTTTGGCCCATGTCTCAGGCCTAGTGTTCTGAGGCCATGTGGGTCAAGACCTACGTTACCTACCTCAAACCAAGGTGAACGGTGAATATCTCAGGGTATTATATATGCTGTTCCTGGGGTCAAGCCATGCTTATGTCCAACTCTACGCAGGCCTGCTGTGCATCCCTGAAAAGCTCGATGGAACAGATTCATGACCAAACCAGTGGGCTCCGGCCAGGTTGTTGGAACACATGGGGATTCGGATGGAGCTCCGTTACAGAGCGTTCGATTCCGGCTGAGTCACTGACGGTCTTGGGAGGTACAGCCGCTACAGCACCGACTTTCATGTGGAGAACTGGTTCATGGCAGCACCACCGCAGGAGCACTTGTTGAGTCCCAAATTCAGCATTCTTTCTTCAGCACTTGTTGAAGGAAACCTCGGATTGTGCTGAAGAAAGATTGTACTGGTCACTGTCGCTCCTTGGAAGGCCGTTGATACCTTGGATACACTAGTATTGAAGAGTAATATGCAATATATAAAGTTATATATATGTTTCACACATCTTACATGAGCAATGACCTTTCCAATGTGAGCTCATTTCTTTTGCCAATCACAAAATCTCAACTCATACAATTTAAAGTGCACGTCCAAGCCATTAGGCCAGAACGGCCGTGTTCCGACCCAACTGGTGTTTTCTTGTTAGCCGCGAGATCCTTTTTCTACAAGCATTGTTAGTGATACGCGGCCGTCTTGAGCGGAACATGTCACGCGGCCACCTTGATGAAACTCGTAAAGGGACCAAACTCTTCTCCCAGAGATGTTTTTCTCCTTTCTGCCATTGCAGCAAGGCTAGCCCATCGAAGACTTCTCTGTTACACCACCCCAAACGAAGGTTTTGGGGGGTGAGCGCAGAAGGTTCGGAGATGTTCGGAGGCTAGTTCTAGCTCGACGATGTGGCACATGCCTGGCGCCCACAAAAACCAAAACGAGTCTCAGTCATCTAGCCTTGAAAAAGGGTATTTTCAGGGTCCTTTCTTCTCGAAAGGTTCCTTTGTTCTTCTATACGTGCTTTGTCTGTACTCTGCGGTCAGATGGGTGGATCACCGCGTCTGTCCTTCTGGTCATGCAGGATCCGTTCATGGTCCGCAGCATGGATTGTGTGAGGCACGGGGCGCTGGAGCAGATGGGACGGGTTATGAACGTGACACGGCCTGTATGTATAGTCAGGGGTTCCCGGTCAAGGTACACGCAGCGACGAGGCGCAACGGCCGACCTGTAGAGGCTGGTTGGCCCCATTGGCCCTCAAAAGCATGTGGGTGCGTCGACCAATTCTTGGGCCTGAACTCAAAACGATCCCATTCTTTGCAGGTCGAATTGGGGGTCAGCTTTGTCGATTTTCGGTTTGTCTCCTCGGCGCTTTGCCGGCCATGTCTCCGGCTAGGGTGTTGCGCCAGCTGAGTCTCCATCACTTGGCGCCGATCCGTGGCCCAGGGAATTGCATAAGTACACGGACGTGAAGGAGTTGTCTACCTACCCCTGGCTCTTCACCAAGAGGTGGCTTCATGGTGCGGTCGTCCGGTCATGCGTCAAGATGATTTGGGCAAGCGCGAGCAAGATTAAGGGTCCCCTCCAATGAATTCATCTCCGCTTCTCAGGGACAATAGACCCTTTTTCAAGACGTAATTTGGAAGCAAACCACAGTGGCTTTCAGCTTCCATGTTCAGTCTTTGCATGTTGCCCAAAACCCTTGGGCGACTCCCACGAACCCGGAATTGAACCCGGAGACTCCGGATTCCGTGTCTGCGGTAGCTGGTGACTGGAGGCAAAGGGTCTTTCTGGGAAAAAGACGTCGCTTCTATGTCAGAAAGGCCATCAGTAGGTTATCGGTAGTATGGATGAGTGTAGTGATTTGTCTAATTTTAGCCATCGAACGCCCATGGGGTTAGCGACCGCGGTCAGCGACGGCGGTGGACAGAGCAGAGTTGGACCGCGGTTTGGACCGAGCACCGTCGGGTTCGTTGGGTCGAAGATGCCGAACCGAAGGCGACCGCATGACTGCTATCTTTACACATTTTTTCCCAGATAGCTGCAAGCTATAAGGGTTTCTAGCTTCTCAAATGGTGCTGGCTCTGGATCGGCGTTTTGGTTTTGCGGGTGCTGCTGCCGTGCTGGTGCTGGTGCTGGTGCTGGATCGGCGCTTTGTTTTGCCGGTGCTGTTGCCGTGCTGATGCTGGTGCAGGCGCTGGCTCTGGATCGGCGTTTCGTTTTGCGGGTGCTGCTGCCGTGCTGGTGCTTGTGCAGGGATAGCATCATGTCAGGAGGGATGACATCATGTCATGCCCATCGATGACATCGTGTCATGCCAGAAATGACACAGAAATGACAAACCTACACACCCGCTATCTGGGGTTTGTGCCGGTGTAATTACCCACAAGATGCACCAATCTAGTTGACATGATTGGGTGAAGTGAATGAACGTAGATGAAGTGAATGGAGGGAAGAGAGGTGAGTGGATGACCACTGCAACCTGGGGGCCGTCGGTGGCTCGGGCACGGCGAACTGGCTCGGTCTTTTCTTAGCGCTGGTGTGATGTGGGTGTTGGTTTTGACCCACATCCATGTCGTTGTCATGTCATCGGTTTGGAGAGCGAAAGAACCAACCCACCACGGATCATATGTTGCACTTCATTTCCGGCCCAAACAATCTCCGCGCTGTTCTCCACTCCCACCCGTCGACCGGACCCACGTTGCTGGACGAGACGAACTGGACGAAAGCGAGGCAGATGGGGGACTTGGACGGCTTGGGCTTGTGGAAGTACGTGGCCACCAGCGCCTGTTTTTTCAAGGTCCTGGATGATGAGCCTTGGGGCGAGGTGTGTTCAGAACTGGCCGAGCGGCAAAGGAATGGGGGAGGAGGAAACAACAGATTTGGGCACAACATGCAGAGAAAAGCAGTTTCGGAAACAGTTCAGGGATGCAAACCATGTTTGTGAACTGAATACTCTTTGTGAAGAGTATTCAGCTCTCAAAGCGCTGGCTATTGTTCCTCCCTGGGCTTGAAGGCTTGAAGGATGTGTGCAACTCCTGGGTTTGATGATCCATCAATATCCATCACCCAAGAAGTGTTGGGATGTCTCTCAGATTTTAATATACTCATCATGTATACATACATATACATGGCTGTGGGCCAAAACCTGGAGCCCTAATCCCTGGTACATATTTGTGTGTGTACATACGCGGTTGCTTTGTTTCATTCATTTTCACACCGTCTTTCATACCCGCTCACAAGAGCAAGGGGTGTATAGACCGCGTTCGCCCGCGAGTTCGAGCCCTGATAACCTGGTAGTTTGACCTCCATACCAGTCTATCCGTCCATTTGTGTTTTTTTGGTCGTCTGTTTTTGGTGGTGTGTTTGGTCAGGTTGTGCGGTGGCCTGCTTTTTGTTGCGGCATTCTCTTCTCAGGGATCCATGTGAATGGGCGCGTAGTTTGATGTTTTGCTCATACATACCAACACCCCAGTACCCCTGCAAGGGAAGGGCTGTTGGGTGGCGCCGAACTCTTGCGCACGGCTTTTTTAATGAGTGGTCAACCAGGGTATTTTGGTCAACCAGGGTATTTTCTTTTTCCCGGAGTGTTTGACCCACAGCCACATGATGGGTGTTGCAACCGGTTGGTGCACCTGGTGAAGCTGGACTTCTTCGCCGAACCGCGTGCTACGAACCTCTTGTTGCGAGGATCGGGAAATCACGCGGTGGTGGCTCAGCCCTTCGGTGCACCGCTCGAATTTCATGGGAGACTCGGCCTTGCAAGAAGCGGTGTGCACACTTGGCCTCTGGAGACTTCAACTGGGTGTGTCTTGGTCGACCCCTGTGGAAGAAGGGACTCAACCAGGTCCAGTGGTCTGCCCATTAAAATCCATCAACCAGGTCGAAGCACGCACCCATCGAAGCATAGTCTGTCCTTCCATGGATGGGACTTGGTTTTCAGTGACTCGGTGACCAAACAAGACCGACCTCGCCGCCAAGAACCTCTTGGCAGGGCTCGGTTTGGCTCCTTGAGGGTTGAGTTTGTCCAAAAAGCCAAGACTTCGGACCCTTCCTGAAAAGGAGCATCTGAGTCCGTCCTGGGTGCATCTCGAGTGCATCTCGAGGAGATGTTTTTCTTTACTTTTTCTTCCACTGATTTGCAACAGTTCTGCATATAGCCATCAGAGCTTCGCAACAGCGCCTTGAGTTTTGTTTGTTGCCTTCAAACCTCACTGGAAAAGGCTTTTCGTTTTGAAGCGCACCGACCGACAGCACGGTTCACCGCACCGACCGGTTCAGGACATCTCAGTGAAGCCTGGTGTCCACCTCAGAGGGGACGTCTTTGGGACGGATGCTTTGGACGTTGGAGTTGGCCAAGTCCGTCCGTTGGAGTAGAAGGAGGGCGTCTCGCATTTACAAGAACCCCCCCATTGGATGTTGGACACTGGGAAAGCTGCTTTGATATCAGATTGGATGGGTGGAATTTGTGGAGTGCAGAGGTTCCGGTTTGCAGTGAAGCTGTGATTCAAAATGGTTGTTGAGCAGTGGCTTGTCACCTCCAAGTCAGGATACCTCCCCCTTCGACTTGTGATGTCACAGATTTCCAGGGGCAAGGGCAAGTTTTCTCCAGTTATCGATGGCAAGAGTCTAAATACCATTGGGTGTTTTATGTCAAAGAAACAACTCAGGTAAAAAAGACGGAGCATCGACCACAATCCCGCTCGGTGTAGCCTTCTTTCCCCCAGCTGGGAATCGCCGGCCTCGCGTAAACCTGTCCGAGGTTTGGCTATGGCAACACGCATCAGGTCTTGGTGGATGCTTGGGCTTTGGGGCTTTGGATGGAGAGTCTTCATGGAGGAAAGCCAAACCCTTTGGATCAGGCCAAGCAAAAATCAGTGCATCTATCTTATATCCATGTTAAAAATAACTAATTCTACACCCCCCATCCGCTGATGTTGATATTGCCTGCACCTCCCTCTCCGTGGCCCGTGAATATATGTATATGTATATGTGCAGATCCGACAGCACCAAACAAGCTCCAGATACCACCCTGAAAGCTGTTGAAGATGCTCCTCCCCATTGCATTGGAAGCTTACAACGAAATTGAAGATATTTTCTCCTGATGGCCACAGTATGTCCCGGAACAGCAAGGCCCATTCTTCCTTGTCCTACACATTTGGCGAAAAGGCTAACGTTTGTCACAACTCCAACCCCGCCTGGCATCTTCTTCCTGAAGTCTTTGCTTCTGTGCTTGCCTCGATCATTTTCCATCCATTTTGCTTTCCGTTCGCACAGTTTCGCGCAAGACATCGCTGAGAAGATTCATTTTCATCCAGATCCACATGATTCGGTTTTACTGCACCAGAACCTGCATCCAATGGTTTTCTTTCATGCCATAAGTCACTCACCTGAATGACACTTTATGTTTGGGTGTTTGCATGTTTTGTCATTCTGGCCCATCTCCTCTTCACAACCCTTCTCTACAACCTGTGCCGGTGAAATCAAGGGCATGGCGTGTGCTTTGGATTCTTGTGCCGGACATTTGCTGGCACAGTCACATAGCAAGCAGGACCAGTGGGGAGTTCCGAAATCGACCCATTGAATGAAACGTCCCGTTTGGGCCCTCCAAACACACATCTCCGGCTTCCGCCGCGTCGACGGACGCTCCGTTTTCGCTCCGACGGACCGGCCGCTCCGGTGGCGTCACCGAGGATTTGTTCTACACCCATCAGCCTTACGTGGCCGCGTGGACGAAACCGATCCGGAGCGACCGGTGTTCGAGGGTACGCCTTATTTGGGAGTTGGGAAAAAGGGTTGGATTCAGCTGCAGTTCTTTTTCTGAGTTACTTATTATATAAGCGGCCTCCTGAAGAATTTGAACACCGATTTCCACGAACGCCCTTCTCCCTGGCATAGTAGGGGTTTTAGGGAGGTCTTGCTTTCTGTCCATGCCATTGCAGGCCTCAACTTGCTGGGTATGCAATGCTCCATAAGATTTAAGCTCCCCAAATCATCTAGGATGTACCCTCTTGCAAAATTGGTAGCAGTTTACACCGATCTGCTCCAGTTCATTCACTGAAGCTCAGTGTGGGTGAGCTGGAGCAGTGTTGGGGAGCTCTGCAGGGGCTTGCAATTAGAGAAAGCCCCCCACCCTCAGGCCTGTTCTACGAGAACCGGCAAGCGAACGCGGATGTTCCACCGCGTTCCGGGAAGCGTTCCCGTTGCGTCCGTCGGCATGTCCCGTCGTGGCTTCCTCGCGTCCGTTACGAGGTCAAAGAGCTCACGGAGGGGCCATTGCTCCTCTTGAAGTTTACACACGACTCGAGAGCAGCGACGCTTGGATATGAGTTGGGCATGGCGGGGCACAGTATATACAGTGGTTTCAGAGTAGATGGCACTGGCACCCCAAGATGACTTTTAGATCGGGGTCCATAAAGACCACCAAACCTGGGAATTGTGCCATCTACTCTCAATGCACTATATAGCTTTGACCACAAACAAGTTAGGGTTTTGGCATAGCATGTCTGTGGTCTGGCAATGTATCGGTGCCATGACCTCAGCCCTTCGCCGTTCCTGGTAGTTTCACCGATGGCAATCTGGAATGAAGACCGTCACCGTCACCCCAAACTGACCACTATAAGAGCCAACTTCGTGAAACAGATGAGCATTGTGGGCTCCAAAGAAGCATTCAATCTCATCTGCTTCTTTCCGAATCGATTTGTGTTGGACCCATCCATCCCGACGATCTTCCTGGCGAGGAGCTCCAGGGACCAAAAAACCAGCCAAGGTTGACCTGAGCTTCAATCAAACATCGAAAATGAACAAACAGCCCTCCCAAAAAAGATCCTCTTTGGTGGGTTGACCACAGTGATGGCATGTTTCGGAGGTCCATGGCTCTCACGCGGGGTGTTTGTCCTTTTCGATCCCTCGTCTTCGATCGCGCTGCTTTGATCGCTCGCATTGATCCGAGGTTGATCGATCCGATCACGCCCATGCAGATCTATGGTTGCTGGGACACGTCCTGGAGCGCAACGCTCAAGGCGCGACCGTTTGGCGGTCAGTTCTTTGTTTTGGGGGGGCAAACAGCTGGAGTGGATTCTTTGTGAGATGCATAGAAATTGTCTCTCGTGAATGAGGCAAGCACTTTTTGCCTCAGGTGCCAGATGAGGATCCTGTGGTCAACCCCTGGATACGGAGACACCTCTCTGATAGAAAACAGCTCGGACAGCAGGAGCTACATACAGGAAGCTTTTGGAGTTGTGGGTATTGTACTTGGTTCCGATAGAACAACATCACTCTTAGGATGTCCTGGACACCAAGTTTCTGAACAGATTCTTGGGGTTAGCTCTTGAAAGATGACAATATCGATCTTTCTACAAAGTCTTCGTCAGCATTGATGGGTGCCACTCTGCCAAGTGTCATGTGGAAGTTCCCTGTCGCGATGCCGCCGCGCTCGGGCGTGGCCGAGCTCGGGCGACCGCGTCGACCGCTGTCTAGGCCATCGGTCTCAACACCACGGATTCCTGCAACGAGATGAAGACACGCACTTGGTGGGGCTGAGAGGAGCTTCTTCCGTCTCCGTTGTCCGTGAAGAGGGTGGCCCTGACCCTGTGGCCGCGTTTCAGCGAACGGTCGTTCGGATCTGTGGAGAGGGAGTGGGGCACCAGCATGGACGTTCCTGCAGCTCTGGTCAATTGTAAACAGAAGTGACATGTGAAGATGACTTTTTGGAGAACTGGGGTGCTTGTATGGATGGTCAGAATAGTCATGGATCTTTGTACAGGGATTTGGTAGCATTTTGCTGATTTCTTTGTTTTTCTTGAACATGGAACGAGAGAAGCTATGTCTTCAACGCGGCAGATGCCCTCTGTCCAGATTTTCATTTTTTTTTTTGTGCGTTCCAACGAAAGTCTCATTCACCAAGTTAACTGCTCTGTGTTTACTCAGGGAGCCTGGAGTGCTCTCTTGACGTGGATTTGGCTGGATGTTTTCTTTTTCACATGGGCGAGGAATTTGCCTTGACGATCGCTAGATCCTGATACTTAGGTGGCTGTGGTGGAAATAACTTTAGCGTGATTGATGAATCTGGGGGTGTTGGCGGGGTGCCTTGTTTTTTCCCTGCGTGCTGAAGCCACAGCCAGATTCAGATGATGTCAGAATCTATTTGGCCCTTGGCCTATCGAATCTGACCAGAAACGAACGAGGGAGTGGAAGTTCCCCTTTTTGGACTTGGACAGCATGCAGGAAGAGATAGGATAGAGTTGTGTTACTTTGTGTGTGCACTTGACTCAAGGTTTGGGCTTCCATATGACTTCTGCTGCACCACCTAGCACACCTCCCCAATTCCCCGCATACAGGACGGCAGCAGCTTTTCAGGTTTTTCTACGAGACACCTCCGACACCAAACTGCTGGATCGAGAAGAGAAAGCGAGAAGACAATGAGTTGAATGGGTTGCAGTCATTGGAGACTCACCATCTATAAGAGCCCAAAAGGCTGGCCGAGCGACACAGACTTGCCGCGAGCCCAGGAGGGGCCCTGCTGTCCGGAAGATCGCTCTGATCCGCAGTTCTTTTAAAAAGAGCGCCTGATCCGAGCGCCGCAAAACGATGCGGAGTCGCTGTCTGCTGTTCGCGCTGGCTGCGACATGGAAGATGTGACGCTTCGACGGTGACACCAGTTCGATCGGTTTCTGGTTTCTTCCATGTTCAAGATTTTATCATCCATTCTTTTTGTGGCCAGGCAGTTGCATGAACAGCGCGTAAAAGCGTTTGCTTAGCTACATTGAAGATGTTTAGTGATATTTTGACAGAGCTGGACCTTGCCGGGAAGATCAGTTCTCCACTTTCAAGCAGGCGCTCCACTGAAGGGGTTAATTCTGCAGCCTTGGGAAACAGAATCATCAGGCCTGATGAGCAACTATAGTGATCCCCAAGCAGAGAAACTATATATATATATATTATAGTGATCTTCCAAGGTTCTTTGGAAGCGATTCACTTTTTCATATCCTTCCACTTCCAGTTCCATCAATCTCGAGGTCATTTCCCTAGCAGGTGGACAGCTGATTTTCTAGGCACATAAAGTGATATGCTTTTGGGAGACCGGCATGGTCAGCTCCCCTTGGCTCATTAAAACATGGGTCACGGTGGTGTTCGCCGACCCAAAGCGACGCCAGGGTGTTCAACAAGGTGGACCCACTCCGGTGGCGAAAGGGACCCTCTGGGTGGCTCCTGTTGGACCACTCCCTACCCTATGGACTGCCTAGACTCATGTCAAGCACCGATTTCTGCAGCAAGGAATCTGCAACTTGCAGAACGAGTGAACAAGGAAGCCTTATTTCTTTGTGACCATTGGGTCTGTGAGCTCTAGCAACTGCAGAACCACTCCCAGAATTCGACTCCGTTTCGCCACAGCCTTATGAGCCCCAGCTGCCCCAGTGTCAAAGACACTGGATCTCGGTATAGAGACAGACTCGGCGATGCGAAAGAAGATGCTTGAAAGCAATTCCTCAAGATTGAATGACTACAACTTGGTCAGAGGCCCTTTTTACTTTGTGTCGATGGGTTTTCCTCTTGGCAGGATTCAATCAATACAAATGCTTTTCCACCATCGTGTTTCTGCAAATACCTTTTTTCTACACCAAACTTGAGCTCTGGAAGGCCACGTTCTTTTTGATTTCAGTGGACGTCATTTTCGAACCGAAGCACATCCAAGCCACATAAACCTGTATGTTTGCAGTTGTTTTGGGTGTTGTTACAGCTTCCGTGGGGTGTCTGACTTCGTGCCTCTGGGACGTCCCAGCCTCTCCATCCTGTTGATGGCTCCGACGGATTGTGTGGACCCCGCAAAAAGCTGGGACATGGAGACCGTATACGCTGTATACTCAACCTTTTGGCCAGCAGCCACCAGGGTAGCCACCATCCACCATCCACCTTACTGTTCATAGAGAAGTTGCACCCACACTTCTCGCAGCAATGCATGGATTCATGGCCCAGTAAACCGGAAGTGCCACCCAAACACCTGAAGCTTCATGCCTGTTTGGCAGCGCTACATGTCTGTCTCGCGCGTCACTTTTTGGCTGAGGTGCTTATTGCAACATGGAACACAAGTAGAGGAATTCTCCCTTGAGCAACTCAGTTCTGCCAGCAACCGCAGCAAGGTGTCCAGAAGCCAACATTCGCAGGTCTTTTCTTTTTAGCGCTTGAGCAGCCCTGTAAGGGGTGTGTGAGGATAGAATCAACCTTAGGAGCAACGTGCTCAACCGAAGATGTCTCATGGTGAAACCCATTCCCGATCGGGAAGCGCCCAGGAAGGTGTCTGGGAGCTCCTTGGGTTGAGACGAGGGGCACGATCGACCGGACGAACGACCGGACGTGTCAAAAAAAACACACTCGCCTGACCTTCGGACGCAGCTGGGTTTTGGTCGATCTTTCTTTCACGCGCTCGATTTGGAGGGCCTCCCCGGTTCAGTATTTGCCTTTGTTATAGCAGCGGGTCTTTCGATCAAAGGTCCTCAACTTTTGCTTCACTTCCAGATCCCCGGTCGCTCGTAGCAAGAAGGACTCCTGGTCCCTGGTCAGTATAGATCTGAAAGAACATGCGTTTTCAACGGTTTTCAACGGACGACTTCGAGCCTCTCATTTTTCATTCCATCCGCTGAAAGCCCTCACCACGAGGTGGATCGAAGCCACGATGAGTTTCACCTAAATGATCTCCGTGGGGCGTTAGGTGATAGATGGGTTGACCTCAAACATTTGTGGCGATAGATGGATGACTCTCACTTTATCGCTTTGATAGATGGAGCAATTCGCCTTTTATCCTATGCTAGCATTGGTTTCTTCGTCTGGTCCATGGCAGTGCATGAACGCTGAGCGAAATGGGCAAAGCACCCAGAACTGCGAAGAAGTAGGTGACATTTGGCAGGGTCACTGCCTTCGGGGTAGTTCTCACCACCGCAATGGAACAGTTCTTGTTCTCTCCCGTGATTCGGTGAGTGGAGACCCATACCATCAGTATCCAGTATTCCTGCCTCTAACCGCCTAACCGCACAACCGGATTTCTACCCTCGGCAGCGGATTTGTCGAATCCTCCTCCCTCTGGCGCCACCAAGGCCCTTGCAGGACCCAAGCCGAGAAAATGGGCTGTGCTGGGTGGCGCAGCCGGGGTGCCCAGTGGAGTGCTAGAGCGATCAGTGATGACTTCCAAGTGGTCTTGAGCCGGGTTTCACATTGGGGTGCTAGGGTGAGAAGTGGGTGGGAGGCGGTTTTGAAGGGGTTCACCAAAGTGACACGGGGAAGCTATATAAAGTGCCGGACTCATACTTAGAACCTTTTTTTGGAAAACACATCGAACAAGTAAAAACACCTGCACACATGGTTCTAAACGTACCATACTTAGAACCTCCAGCAGTTGGATAGGCATACTTAGAACCCTGAGCAACCTTTGTGACCAACCTTTGTGACCAACCTTTGTGACCAACCTTTGTGA